CTCCTTAATTAAAATTCTTGTTCCGCTACTGTTTTCTAACCATCTATTTAGAGTTGACAATTCTACTTTTGTAGTCCCACATGTTTCCAATAAACTTGTTTTTGCCCCTACTAACTTTCTTCTCAAACAAAAATAACCACAATTTGAAAATCTATTTTCTTTTTTGTACAAACAACTCTCCAATTTTTAGAAACAATTGGACCCAAATCTTTTTCATTTCTTTTTCAAATACCTTTTTGTAGGTCTAAATATCCAATTATTTTCCAGCTTTTGTACTTTCATGTTATTCTTTTGTCCTATCACTCTGTCTCTTTTTTGTTGTCAAATAAATAATGTCTTCCATTAAGAAAACAAATTAACATGAAATAAAATATAGCTAGGTATTTTTTTTCTTCATCATATAAGTTGGGGATAATTACGAATCTGAATCATTGATATTCTAGATTACAAAATATACTTTATATTAAATATAGTAATATGTTATACTGAATATATATATTATTTGGATGTATATATTGTGTATAGTTTAATCATGTTGATAAACTAATTAATCGGAAGATATATTCTTAATTTTAACTATCAAGTCAATGAGAAAAGTCCAGCTAGAAAAGATACAGATATTTTGAAGTCCAATTATTAGGACCATTTGTTTTTTAAAAAAAAAAAAAAAAAAAAAGGGAAAATGTTTCAAATTAGTTTTTGAGTTTTTGAAATGATCCAATTTTATTCTTTGTTAGTAATTGAAGCCAAATATATGGCTTTTATTATAGGTTTGGTTTAAATATATCTTTACATATTTTACTTAATGTGACTTTTATATTAGGAAAAAGTATTTAAATTTGTTCTTCAAATTATTTGAGATATTTAAATTTGTTCTTAAATTTTGTGAAATTGAGTATATTTATTTTTCTCAACTGTTATTTATCATCATTTTAAATCAATCGTATTATCATAACAATTGATTTTCTCTGCTCTAAAAAACATCATTTGAAGATCACTATTATTTTATCATGCCAATTTATTTTATTATGATTTGAGAAGATCGTTGATGATGAAATTGTGTCAATGAAATTTCAATAATAATCAGGACATTCTCATGATTGACTTAGGTACCACGCCTTGTACATACAAATAATTGGCTCAGGTATCACGCCTGTTATGAGATATCTACATGGTTGATTCGGTACAACGCTGGTAAAAATTACTAAAGATTGACATGTGTACCACGTCTGGTACATTGACTGGATCTGACCGATAATCCTATCAGTACACTATGAATTTTGCGGACTGATACTGCATTTACTATTTCTTAGTTGAGTACATGGCATATTTCAACGACTGCTTCACGACTTCCACTGTAATCCTAGCGTTAATCGAATGATTGCCATGAATATTTCTAGTCCATTTCTAAGATCGGGACTTTGTTTAGTTTTTTTTATTTTGGAGTTGCATCCCTATATTTTAAATTACATAAATATCTTGAAATATGACTTTCAATTTCTAGGGGGTTCTTCCACAATATTTGATGACTATGAATTTTTAATTATGAAACATATCTTGTTTTTAAGTGTTGGAGCTACTTCGTTTTTGTTATTTGTTGATGTATGTTAATAGTTAGTTGATTCTTTCACCAAAAATTAGCATGTTAGTCACCTCACTCAAGATGGATCAAATTGTAACATATTTACAAAAAAAATTTAAAAATTTTATAAATAATATAAACTATTTTACCTAATTTAAAATATATAATTATTTTTCATTGGATATTTGATATTGACTACTAACAAAAAGTCTAGGCAACAAAGCCACAAAAGCTAAGTACAAGGGAGCTCGTGAACATTTTATTTTCCAATGTGTAATGATTATTAGCAATGTTGAAATAGCAAGTTGGTTGTTACCCAAAAAAAAAAAAAAAAACTGAATAAAGACAATTCTGCCTAATATTTCATCCGTCCAGTTTTATTTATCATATTGCATTTAAAAAAAATTAATTTGATTATTTTTTAAAATTAAATTAAATTATATTAATTCGATATTTTAAACAAATTTTTTTAGATATTCAAAAAACTATACGAAAAACTATGTAATTTTTTACATATCAATATTATGAAAAAATAAATCGTAAAATGTTAGTCAATTTTTTATAATTTAACTCTAAAAAAAATATGATAATTAAAAGTAAACGAACGTAGTAATAATTACTGGCACCAAAGACATAGTTTAATTATTAAAAACAACTTCTTCTCTTTTTTTGTACTTTAAGCAATTGAAAAGCCTTAAAAGAAGAGGGTTGTTTTCTTGTGAAATTAAAAACTTTTGTACTGAAAAGTTTGATTAAATATGAATATTAATTGCCTTGGTAAAGTAACCCTATCATAATTCGCATGACATAATGAGTAAATTCACTCCATTCCTGTATTTTTACTCCTCCATCTTATCAAAAATAAATTATTTATTTAATTTTAAAAAATAAAAAATAATATTTTATATTTATCATTAAATATTAAATAATATCATTAAAATAAATTTATAATATTTAAAGAATAAAAATGAACTAAGGGAGTATCTTGTTTGCTTTGAATTTGTGAAAATGGTACATCACTTTAGTGAATACCCCGTCCTTTATTATGACTAAGACTATGCGGGGTCGTTTGGTTTGAAAATTAGTTATGATGGGATAAATTATGTTGGGATAAGTTATGTTGGGATTAGTTATGATGGGATAAGTTGTGTTGGGATTATTTTTTATTGAGTGTTTGGTTTGTTTTATTCAAAATAATAAATTTTAAGAACAATTTATTTGTTTACAAAAATACCCTTCATTAATGTAAAAAGTGATATAACAAAAGGGTTGAAAGAGACATTTTTGTCATTTACCTATTTTATCCCGGGATAAGTTATCCCGGGATTACTATACCACCCCAAGAGAGGGATAACTTATCCCGGTATTAATTATTAATCCCGGGATAAGTTATCCCGAACTTGCCAACCAAACAACAAAATAAGCGGTACTATAATTTAATCCCGGGACTATTTGGTATTATCCCTCACACCAAACGACCCCTGCATGTTTAATCACATTTAACACTCTGTTCAGATAATTATTACGTATTGTTTGATAATGTATCATAGTATATTGTATAATAAAATTTAAATAATAATTAATACATACATTATATTCAAACTAATAATACAATACAATTAGTAGCAACCATCCAAACAAGTTACGGATCCTTCAAAAATAACCTCTCTGTTTTTAATAATCTCGAGATAATTTGCAATCGCTACAATCTCTGTTCTTCGAGTGAACAGTCTATAGTGAGTACTTTATGTGTGCCGGATAAATTCCTTCATTGTGTAATAGTCTGCAAATCATACAGGAGATGTAAATCGCACTAACCAAGCCCTATGTGACAGATTCGACTCAAAAGACATTAAGAAAAATTCAATTCCTAATCATTTGTATAGATATCACCCTCCAAACTAACCGAACGAAATGGATTAAAAAATAACTTTTTCATCTTCATAAAACATTTAACTTTTTAGTGGGGGTGGGGGCATTTTCACATGTCAAGGCAGGGGAACAATCAAGAGGGGATGACCACATTTGAGTTTTAATGATAATTAAATTGTTGGTATGTGTACAAACTTCCAAACCTCACATAAAACCTATTTACCACTCTCATTTAATTGCATTTAAAACAATTGTCTCTTTTGTTATTTTATATTTATGCATTTATTTATATTTTATGGTCCATTTTCCAAATTATTTTATTTTATTTTATTTTTCCAAATCCCAATGTCTATATTTCCCCACCATAAGAGGACTGCAGCTCCAAACCCATGAAGGATCTTTGACCAAAGTATATTTTAGAATTCATAGAATAGAATAAAAGAATAGAAGCATCAAATTTCAGAGTATTACTCATCTTTGTTCCCTTTATATAAATATAATAAACAATTGAAATTTTCATTATTTAATATTTTGATCCAAATTATGGAGGGAAAAAGGAAGGAAAATCACTTTTAAGTCAAAATAGGCTCCCTAAAATCACATCTAAGATCTAAAATAATCGTTTGAAAATTAACTGCATATCTGAAGTTAGTTCGTCTGTATAAACGACTCCTCAATAGAAGGTTCACACAATAAGCCTATTAGTTTAGTAATAGAGTGCCTCTATGTTAATTGTATCGTTACATATGAACTATGAAAATTTTAAATTTTTATTTTATTTTAGTATAGTAAAATAAATGAAAAATTATACCTAAGCTTACATGACCTAAAATTATCATGAGAAAAAAACATCATATTCTTACTCACATCTTCTTACATATTAGTAAATCTTCTTCATGTTTATGCCCTTCGTTCTCTAAATATATTGTCGATACATCAGTTTAATTAATTTTTAAAGTTAAATTAAATTAAAATCACGTAGTACCATTTTATTTTATACTTTTTAATATTCCACAATCATGCTCTGCATGAAAAGTAGTACATATCTTTTTTTTAAGTAGCACCCTTACTTGGACAAAATTAAAGTTACTTTTTGAAATAAACATTTTTCTAGTTTACATCTTTTCACTTTAGAACAAATTATATTTTAGTTTATATAGTTAATTGAAATGCAGATATTTTTTATACAAACTTTAAGACACATTTTACTAATTTCAACTATTTTGCCTGAATTTCAGCAACTGAATTCAACATTATATTTATAAATTTCATTAATATATTTCATTATAAATTCTCTCAAAATGAATTGACATTTAAACTCAAATATTTAAAAAATAAATACAAGCAATTGAAATCAAACTACTTGAAATTTACGTAGTCTTCAAGAGGGAAATGATCTTTATTAAAGTTGTTTTTTTATATTTAGAGTTCAAACTTGAGATTTCATCGATTGCATGAGTGATAATGTTATATATACAGTAGAAGTCGAAAGTTTTAACTAAAATAATAAGTACATCATACAAAATAAAAATAAAATGATGCAGACAGAAAATAAACAGTACATTACTAATAATAGATTACAATTTTCACAGCATTTTTGACCACCCAACTACAAAATACTAACTTAATTAATTTTTTTTCCTCCATAATCAAAAAGGCTGTGAAAATAGAACCCTTTTTTTCCTCCTAATTCTAAAAATTAAAAAAAGCAAAAAACAAAAATACTTAAAAAAAAAAAAAAACACTTACTATAAATAAACTATTTCTAGAAAACCCATTCTATTACTAAATATTTATGGGTCCTATATTGCTCAAAACTCTTTGAATTCCGATATATCGATATTTTCAAAGAATACGAGCAAAATATTAACAACTAGTCTACTAGTACTAAAGAAAATAAAAAGAGTCACGTGACTATTACCTAAAAGTCACGTGACCTCCGCCATGCAAAAACGGCGAAATGGATGTCACGTGAGTATCAGCTATAAGTCACGTGACCTCCGCCATGCAAGAACGGTGAGCTAGCTCCGGCGACTCCTGGCCGGAGAGAAAAAACCCCATTCCAAATTTCGGTAAAAGCCCTAACGATAATCCCATGATAATACGGCGAATTCAACTGCAAAAAACAATTCAACAGCTCTTTCAAATCGTCTTTAGAGTAAATCTCCTTTTCCAAAATCATCTGAAGCATTGACTGACGGAAATCTAGATACGGGTCGTCGGAATCTTTCTCGACGGCGACGCTTTCGCCGCCGATCCGGCCGAATCCTTGAACGGCCTTTGAGGTTCTGAAATCGGAAGATTCATTGGTTGTAGCGTCGGAATGAGGAGAGAAAGTCGTCGTCGTCGTATCCCATGAACTGCAAGAGGAGTAATTTGAGTAATTTTTGTTGTGGGTTTGAGATTTTGGGGATTTTCTGTTACGGGGTTTTGGGTGGAAAATGCTGGAGAGTTTTGGCCGGATGCAACTGCTGCTGCACCCGAGTTTAACGGTGACGTTACTGAGAATGATTCTTCTCCGGTGAGTTGACATTGCCGGAAAAGTAAAAGTTGCAGAGATTTTTATTTTTTTTTTGTTGTTGTTGGGAGAGTGAGGAGGGTGAAGTGAGGAGAAAGTTCATATATAAATGGATCATGTGGGGGTTAAAGGGTCCACGAATAATGGATAGCTAATTTCGAAATTAATTTTAAAATAAATGCATATTAAAATTTCGAAAACAATTTGGAAATAACTTTTTTTCTTTGATTTTTCATCCGGTATTCGGAGCTCATATTGAAGTTTCGACTAAATTCGAATTGCGCATTGTAGGGCTCATTTGAGGGCGGCGCTCCTAACAAGATTTTCTCCATACCCAGGGCTCGAACTCGAGACCTCTGATTAAGGGTAAAACAGTCCCACCAATACACCACAACCCATGTTGGTTTGGAAATAACTTATTCTTACTAAAACGAGCTCAAAAGACATAAGCAAAGAGAAGATATTGTATTTTAATCAGAGGTTTCGAGTTTGACTCTTCATGAGTACAAAGTCGTTTTTTGTTAGGAAACATTTTACCCTTTCAATTTGAAACTTTTTTTTACATGAATCTAAATCTAATCATATTTAATATGAATATCGAACATCGAACGGATAAACAAAAGGAAAAAAAAAGGAGAAGGTATCTTCATGTTGATGATAGTGTGACAACTAGGTGAATCAATTGATTGATGACAGTCTATTTACAATTAGGGTCACCCAATTTTATTTTTTCTTTTCAAGTGAGTTATATATATTTTTGCTTCTGTAAAAATTTATTTGTATTTAATATTTATATCAAGTCAATAAAAATATGACACGTATTAAGATACTTGTATTTATTATTTAAAATTTATAATTAATTAATGTATATAGATCACAATGAGATTTTTTTTGAGATATATAATCTTAGGCATCATATAATTTTCAAAGACTTTCTCTAATTCTTGCTCTAGTTTGCCATTGGCATTAAACATATAGAATTGAGATTGTTTTATGAGAAAAGACATAAAGTGACATCTGAAGTTATCTCGAATTTTTTAAAAATACTTTAATTATGCGAGTGTCCTATTACCCTACAAACTTTTAAATATCTTTGTAAATAGATCAATTTGTCCGATTTTCTCATCAATCTCAGATTTTGAATATGTGTGATGCACACTCTCTCTTTAATTAATTATTTTGATTTAATATTAATAAAATACGGATTTAACCCGACCCGAAATATTGAGCTTGCAACTTCAATAGTATGAACTTGATTCAAATTTCCGTTGGACAATTTTTGAGAATTGTCCAAAAATTGAATCTAAATTTCTTCACCTAAGACTTTCCCAATTTGCTTATTCTTAACCCTAATTTGCAAATTTGAATTGTTAGGAAGCTTACCGATTGGGGGGTTTTGTTGTGTTAAGTTTATTATGGTGCTCATTTTAGCATTGCTCGTTGCTTGGAAATTTTGCCGGAGCTTCATCGCCGGTATTATGATTTTTTCGTCCATTTTGAATGAACTTTTACTATTAGGTATGTTAGGACATGGAAAACTTGTTTTATTTGATAACTTTTTGGTACAAAATTAAAGAACTTCGTAAGGGATACATTTCCATCATCCTTAAGAGCGTAAGGCTACTCATCTATCAACAAAATGTGTGAATGAGCGAAAAACAACTCATCTTCCTACGATAGAAGTAAAACTTCATTATCAATTTTTAGTGAGCTCATTGGGATTGTTGTTTGCTGATTCCCCTAACCTGCACAAGGGAATGTTAAGCCACATCCAGAACAAAAAGAGGTAGAATTGGGGAAGATGATGTTTTTAAAGTAAAAGTAACTAAATACTCATAAAGAAAGATTTGACACTTGGCTTTTTTAATTCGTTTTTGGAAGTAAAAGTTTCCATTCACGCGCTTCATTTGCGTGCAAACAAACATAGGGAGAAAAATGATCAAAATAGTCTATTATAAAGGTATTTAAAAGTTTTGTTGTGTAATAGGACACTCGCATAGTTAAAGTATTTTTTAAAAAATTCGCGACAACTTCATGTGTTACTTCATGAAATTTAATTTTATTTCATTTTTTTAAAAATATAGAAAAAAATTGAGAAAAATATATCTGTCTCTAATTTAAGTGGATTCCTTTTGTCTTGCAAAGTCGTTTTTTTTTAAATTAAAAACTTGCTCTTTCAAGTTCAAATTTTCTTCCTACGAACGTTTGATATCCGATCCGTTGAAAAAAAAGTAGAGCTATAAATATTTCATAAGAAGTGAAATAATTTTATTTATTTTCAAATATAAAATTTATTTTTTGAGAAATTAAAAAAGAAGGATAAAATAACATATAAATGGAAGGTATCTTAATTTTTACGATAGTGTAACAGCTAGTTGACATAACTTATTGATGACAGCCTATTTAGGGTCACCCATTTTTCATTTCCCCTTTTTTTTTAAAGAGTGAGTGATATTAGTATTTTTTTTGTTTAATTTTAATTGTCGTTTTAATTTTTTTCACGCTCATCAAGAAAAATAATATAAGTATAGTTTATCAGCAATTTTTCTAGATTGAACATTTGTGAAAAATATCTTATGGGATTATTTCATCCCACCTTTTATATAAGATATTAAATTCATCATTTTAGTTCAAATGATTGAATGAAATTGTCTCAAAATTGACTAGTACATCAAATTAAATATGGAATAAAATTTATCTCAAAATTATTATCTTTATTCTACGTATTAAATGATCCCTAGAAATATAATTAAAAATAATTGTCGAGTTTTACATTTTCAAAATAACATTTATTTTAAGCGAAAGCGATTGTTAATGAGAGGGAGGAGTTGTAAATATTTGGCTTGAAATTTTGATTATAGAAAAGGTTTCAAATAAATACGTATAATGAAAGGAAATGATATATTTTATGTGATTAATTTAATATTTAAAAGACAAATAAAGTATTTTATTAAAAAATAATCGAAGTGTATAATTAAAACAAAAAGCTTAGTTCGAATATCTGAACGAAAATTTATTATCATCCATTGAACCCCCCCCCCCCCGGAGGTGAGGCTACCATGACTTGACACACCATAAGAGATTATTTATATGACACTATTATTATTAATTAATATGCAAGTGAGATTAATTAAGGTAATTAAAATATATAGTGCATGAATGAGAAATTAAATTATTAAAAATCTGACAAATACAGAAGGTATAATGATCTAGGATTCATTAAAATAAATAAAATGATAAGCCATTGATTTTCTGCCAGCCATTTAGATTTAATTACATGTTGCGTGAGCTTCCTACTGGTTTACATAGGGTTTTAAGCCTCAAATATATGAAATATAATTTTGTTCCATGTTCTCCTCGGTCGGAATAGGTAGTTCAATTCCTTCTCTTAAAATTATACTTGAGAATTTCTTACCTCATACACGATAGATGATAATGAGAAAGGGCGTTGTGTCGACTTGTTGAATATGTTAGTACACTCGGGAATTTCATCTTTGATGACAATTTTTTAGTTAGTGATAGGAATGAAGACAATTATTTCATCTATCTTGATATGATTAGATTTTTGAGATTGACAACGATCATTCTTTTTTGAGTGAACTAGATTTCTTTCTTGAACTAAGTTTTATGTGGACTATTACACGCTCACGTGTCTTCTACTTGAATTAAGTTTCACGTGGAGCATTATCACGATCCACTAATCAATGTTTTAATCAGATTCACTTTGTAATCGAACATTTATGATCATCAAAAAGTTTATAGCTAAATATTATTTGTCCATCTCCAAGCTACTGCTGGCATGGTAGAGGTAATAATTCATGAGTCTCGCAACATCACTCTGTCATTACCACTCTGTCATTACCATATTGAACTATTAACTCTGATATCATCGGTGGACTTACTACTAATGTTGTGTAGTATTGTCTGTTGCGCTAAATTCAAACATTTTTTCTTCAAAAAAAACATCACAGTTAAGAGTACGCATACACTTTATATGTAGTTTCTCAATCATTTCAATTATCAATATAAAATTTTATTCACACACTCAAAAAATAAATAAAAATTGCTTTATAATATAATTTAACTTACTACAATAGATTATATTAAGATATGTTTTTTTTTCCGAGGAAATGAGATCTTTTGGTCATTTTGGATATAACTAGAAAATTTCTTTTTAGATCATTTATTTGTAAAAATGAGGTTTTCTTATAAAAAAAATCATAAAATAAAAAAATTTATAATTTCTTCCTATATTTTCAGGTTAACGTTATTAGCCTTTGTATTAAAAATTACTTCCCTCGTTCGCTCATTTTCATTTATGCGATAATATTTTACTGAGACTGAAACTTCTTTTAAAAAATAATTTTAAAATTTATGATTTTAAAATAATAATTTTATAAGATATAGATGAGGTGAAAATGATATTGTAGAGAGTAAAATCAGTAGTTTAAAGTTATTTTTTTTTCCAATAAAAATATAACAAAATAATGAAACAAGTACTGTAATTTCATTTTGAGAAAGTGAGGACAATTTTTGCACAAGATAAAGTTAAAAAGTCAAATATCTTATTTAAGATGGTACTATAATATATGTCTTATTACACATGTATTTTTGTGGCTCATGCCTCAGAGAAGTACTATTTTTCTTGTTTTCCTTTTAATTTGTTTCCAGATTAAATTTGATAAAAACTTATTGTTTAGGTAAAATAAAATCTTATTAATTTATTATGTAAGTTATATAAATTAAGGTGAAAATATTTTGTAAATTAAGTATGATTTAGTAATAAGAATGTACTAATTTACCATGATTAAGTTATAAGTAATTTTTTTTTAAAAAATATTTTCTAATAAAATTTTTTTTGTTGTTTGGTTTAATTGAAAAGTATTAATCTCATATGAATGTTAAAGGTTGAATTCATGAAAGCAAGAACCGGATATGGTGAAATGACAATGGTTTTTGTACACTTTAATCAGAAAGCCTTTAATTTCAGAATGTGATGAGTCGATATGGAGGAGCCGAATCGAATAACTATATCGATAAAAACTCATAAGAGTCATCAACCTATTAACCTACACATCCCAGATGTTTCATTGAGTGAAAGCTAGTTTTGACTTAAATCCAATGAATAAATCTTCTTCGATGGAAAGCGTTATAACCTCCATTATCCAGTTTCTATATATGGTGAGCGTTCCGATTAATTATATCGTGTGAGTGAATTTGTGCCTTGTTAAGTGCAAAATCATCTTTATTAAGAAGCTCTTTGCTCCTAACGTGGATTTTTTTTTTTTTATATTTATCATTTTTTAGGGGGGTGGGGGGTATGGGAAGGGAAAATGAGGAAGGAATTACAAGGTGATGAATCGAACTCTCACCAACAAGATAAGAGTTCAGATAGTCAACCAATTAAACTACTAAAAAATATCTTTTTATCATGGTACATTAGTATATGCATATAAAATGTATTGAGATTTTGAAATTATGAAAAGAAATCATTTTATTTACGGTCTTATTTATTGTTCGATTAGAATTAAAGAGAAATATTTGCAAAAATACAATAACATATCAGATTCGAACATTCTAACCTTTATAAAAATTCTTTAAGCTCTAGCAAACAGAACAAAATCATATTTTTCGAAATCCCAATATAACATACATACTGAACATCGAATGAAAAATAAAATAAAAATAGACACAACTTCATATAAAAATTCTCCACCTCCTATCCAACTAGTCATGAATGCAAATTAAAGACAAAAGAATCAAGAAAATGAATATAGCATTAAAGTAAATTCAGAGATTTCTTGTATTTCATGACAAATCTATAAACTTTAGGGGCAGTCAAGGGTAGGCCACAACTCATAAATACAAATAGTAAACTCTCTGATAAAATAGTACAATTGGGTGGCTTTTTAAAAATTATAATGATTGAAAAGCTAAAGAATCCCTAGCTAAATTAGAATAGCATGTCATGATGACCAAACGAGTTTAAGTTATATACATTATCGATATAAAAAATATATACATATAACAAGTAAGTGTTTAAATGCGGGTAAATCTTAGTAACTTAGTTGATTAGTTAGTTAAAGTCTCATCTTATTGATAAATGTTCGATTTCTCACATTGTAATCCCTTCCCTTATTTTAATGTGAAGCCAAAATTTTAATTACGTGTTTTGAATTTTAGAATGACGAGTACAAAAGATTGAGCATAAATTTCAAATATTTTTTACTTTATTTGAAATTTATTAAATTAAAGCTGAAGATGGAGTTGTGTTTGGTGATTTTGTTTGCGAAGAATATTTAGGATAATGTTAAGTTCATGCTTGAATGTAGTTAAGTACAACTTTAAAAGTTAAAAAACGAGTAGAAAAATATGCTATATGCTGTTTTCTAAATATGAAATACAACTTCAAGTTGAATTTTAAAATTTTCATGGCCAACACGATTCTCAAACAAAGTAACAAATTATTTTGAAAAAAAAAAGTGAATAATTTTTATGACGGGTCCTTAATATGTGGACATATTTGATGATTTTCTTTTAAAAAACTCAAATACATTATTTGAGCAAAAGCTACTCACTTTGACCGAACTCGTACATGAGTTTCTTCCCCTATTTTCAAGTTTATAAATTTCACATTTTAAGAATATAGATATTATTTGGATGACTTAAAGAGTTAATAGTTAAAAGCATATTTTAACTATCGTTTTCTTCGCGAGTTTCTCATCTCAACTATTAATTGTTTTGCCTGAACTATCACTCATTCAATTATCCGTTGTTCTTTTTTTTTTCTACCTGACCATCAATTCTTAGTTGAAGTGTGTTTTAATACATAAATAATGATAATTCAAGTAGAAAACTCAACAATTGATATAAAACTTGCATAAAAATAATAATTCAAATATATTTTTGACGGGTACAAATCACCCTTTTTTTCCTCTGAGAAATAGGTGGACAGACTGTTTTGTACAAATTTATTTTTGGCTGCAAACAATTATTACACAAAGGGGGTCACCTGCACCATAAATTACAAGTCCATTCATGTTAAAAGAAAACAAGTTCATCATGGCAATGGGGCTCAGGAAAAGCACATCATGTAGATATAGCTTGTATTTTAGACATTAAAAAAAGTGATATTTAATTTATTTATTTTTAAAAAGTTTAAATTGTGTTTGAACAGCATATAATACATCAACAACAAATTCAGTATAATCCCACAGAATAATATCTGGAAAGAGTAGAATATATGCAGATTTAGAGGTTGTTTTCGACCTCGACTCAAGAAAAAAACAGTTCAAAGTAGAATCGAGAGAAATAACGTAAATGAAGACAGTTATAGCAAAATACTGCAGACAACTGAACATATCATCCTAAACAATAATCATAACAAGTTATAACGAGATAATCAAAGTATAAAAAAAAGTTACAAATAATAACTAAACTCAAAGGACAAAATAACCGCAAAAGTAGTACTACTAATAAGCAAGACAACTCCACCTACACTGATTAGTAAGTTTTTCTTTTCTTTTATAACATTTAAGGGGTCATTAGTTGGAAACTAGTTATCTCACAATAAGTTATTCCATCATGCATATTGAACAACTTATCTCATTACTATGACAAAAATGGTGAGATAAATAACCAAACGTGAAATAAAATAGTCCTACTTTTAATCCTGAAATTATTATACTTTATACCTCACACCAAACGATTCCTAACAATACAATGATGGTTTTGAGCTACCACTAGTATATTTCTTGAATATTTTGCTTACCAAGACTTCAGCTGATGAAAAAAAAAAACCCTAACATTTTTTGTTTCTGCTCAAATTTGATGTCTAATCTTGCATGATTTTCATCGACTTCATTGACCATTAGACAACCCTCGGATGCAAGCAAGGTTCGAGACTCTTACTTGGTCGTCACGGACGAAAGTGCACAAATAACCACTTGAAGGAACAATGTTTAAGACATAACCAAAAATAACAAAGTATTTAATACTTAGCTCTGATACACAATATAAATTCCATCCAAATCGAATATTCTCTTGAAATATTGATCTGAATTTTTGTTGAACCAGAAACGATCGATCACATATTAGCTCGATTTTATTGCCTGCCTGATGCGTTTCCAGAAAGAAATAACGTCTACTCAGAGTCTATTTTTGAAAAATAATTCTTGATTAAGCCAGAAACATGCTTAGCAACCCATAATGAGCCAGCCTCTGTGCAAGAAAAAGCATGAGTAAAATTCTCTTTTTCTACTGCTAGAACAGCACCTGGTACCTTATTGGAGATCTGTAAGAACAAAAGTGGCTATTAGATCAATATCAAGCAAGTGATTAGAAAATAACAGTGTATCCACACAGCTTTCAGTTGACATTTTTCTTGACAGTGATACGTAAACAGGTGGGACGTTATATTTAGGCAACTCAAGTAGACAACTCGAGCCTCACGGGGCACCTGAATAAGCCTGATATGATATCAAGGCAACTCAACTAGACTGCACACATTCACTCCATCACATTTGGGACATCGAAAATAGGATATATATACTCTAAAAGAAAGAGCACATAACAAGGACAAAATCTGTTTAATTGCACACATGTCAAGATAAACTGGTATTGTTTGTCCATCTTTACTTAGTAGTGTAAATCTCACATTCTTCATTTCAACTCACAGCTTCACTTTGACTTGTGTACTTTTTCAAAATCTAATTTCACTAACAAATGAGTTAATCCACTTCCTAGTTCTTCGAAAATTGATCATATGACTATGGTTTCTAATAAGATAATCAAGTCGTGGCAAGAGTTCACATCCCTTTTATTTTATATATAACCGTGGTGACTGGGCCAACTTGTTGCACCTCGACTAAGTATACAGGTACCAGCTACCTCCCACCAACACATGTATCGGGTAACTCTATCAATCAAGATTGAATAGATAAGTAGAAATCACCTAGTGCTTTTTTGCTTCCGCTAGGATTTGAACCTAAGACGTCATGGTTTTCGACCAACTTTCATTGACCACTAAGCCGTACCCTTGGGATGCAACAAGATAATCAGGTTGTTGTGGGAATTTACATTCTTCAGCAACACCAATGGAATTTACAACTAGATACATCTAATTTTAATAGTATATGTATAAACGTTAATTTCAAGTTCATAATGTTATGGAGGGATCATTATATATGATAAAAAGTTAAAACAATGAATAAACTGATAATGCTCATTTCTCTTATTTCCCAAATGCAGTAATTTCGACCATATTGTAGAATTGAAATAGAAAGTCTAGATTTTATCTCCTTCTAGAAACTCATCAAATTGATTCTTACATCCTTCAACTATATATGAGCTCAAAAGAGCCAGACTCACAGCTTGTGCAGCAGATTCGAATTATGATAAAGCATAAAAAGTTTTAAGAATGCTGGTCATAGCCGGATCTAACGTTAACGTGACATCATAGACACAGTAAATCTTTGTAATTTCACATTGCAAATATAGAAGGGAAAAATCTTCTCAATCAAATAAACATGCAAACAGTATTTACCTCTTCATAGAGATCTAAGGGACCCCAGTGATCGTCGACTCCAAACAAAAATGCCATCTGACTTTTCTTTTCCCTCATAAATGACCAATCAGGTACCTCAGAAAGCTAAATACAGAAGGAGAAAGAACGCATAATTAGGATAGACAGAGAAAACTTCTACGGAAGATTACCAATATGCACGGTTTTGGGGCAGTTGAAAATTAATGTTTTTCTATGGGAGAATCCTGCCACAGACTGTGGTCCAAGCTATTAGTGTGATATACATGATACATGCAGCTGTCGTGCAACAAAAATCACATGGTTTTTTCACCCTTTATAGAAAAAATTAGAGTCAATAGCTTCCATAACCACTATCATCTTTAACAAGAATATTTTGCATGAAAAATGTTTTGGAACAAGGTTGCTCGGACTCTACAAAAATACAGCCGCACCCGTGTCAAATCCGACAAAAATGCACTACTATTGGAGGATCCAACATGCACCCACTGACATTTTTAAAGAGTCTGTGCAACATGTAGAACTTAAAACCAACTTGAAATTAGGTCGCACTGGATCAAATAATGAATACCCTTGGAGCAATATATATCACGTGACAAGGATAAATTTACCTTTTCGAATTCGGTCATTGCCATGTATAGCATGTTCTGAACGGTATGGTACTGAAAAGCATATTGCAGTGGACAACAATGATTAGTATTCGCACGAAGAATGAATATAGATGTGTGACTTTAAAATATCCAGTATCACAATAAACAAAATAAAAAAATTATCTCTGGATGAAAACTGCTATGAAACCAACAGACAAAAAGACGTTAGTGATATTGTACTTCGTTTTGCACACTTGCCCTCAAGATTACAGCGAGTAGAACTATGAGCAAACTGCAGCCATCTAGTTACATAATTCTTCAGTAACTAGGTAACCTACAAGGAGCCGTCATAAAACGTTTCAGCAACTAGGTAATCTACGAGGAACCGTCACAAGACGCCAAAACAGTGGGCTGAAATATAGAGGATTTCCAAATAACCGTGGGTTTATACATGGATCTACCAAGAGTCTGTACTTTTTTACCCTAGTTATGATGAGTTAATCAATAGTATACAAGGTTGGTCTGTACTGTTTGGACACAAAACTGTGTTAATGGACAAAACTATTAGGAGAGTCTATCAAAAGCTTGAACTACAGAGGCTGAATGTAGAGCATAAAGATTTTAGGAAGAGTAGAAGTAAGACAATATATGAATTGCAGGTTTAGACTTTAGTTAGCACAAGAAGAATGAAACTGGAATGAGACTAAATGAGATTGCAGTTTCCAAAGGCATACTATTTATATATTTAGGCTAAGGCTCTCAGGATAAAGGCATTGGTAGATGAAAATGTAAAACATATAATTAAAATAGAATGGCTAAGTAGAGGACTACAGGAAAATTATATGATAGGAGGATACCTACTAAAGTTGTAGACACGTTCTATAAAATAATTGGGAGACCACAGTGGAATTTGATACTCTAATCCCCAACATATACACAAGATGAGTTACTTAGAAATGCGGAGATATAACAATGCACATATTCATCAATAAGTACAAGTAGCACATGGAGAGGTAAATAATAAATTGTTCAATGAGATTGTTTGGTTCTGTCTTTTGTGGACCTCCAATTGCCCGGTCCTTAAGTGTGACAACAGTATGACCAACTCCAACAGTTTTAAAAAGGGACAAAGTAGATCTAAAAACACATGGAGGGAAGTCTCAAAAGACCAATAATTTCTAACCCTCAGGGGTTGGCCTGCTGGCAATTGACTTGAGCCTTGGGGTTTGCTCCCTTTCAAGGTCTCAAGTTCGAAACCCACTAGGTGCAAACAATTTCTGAGGGCCATCGGACTGGGTAAAACCTGAATTAACCGTGGTGCACTTGCGGGAAACTCCTTGCCGAGGGCCTGTGCACCCCCGGGATTAGTCGGGGCTCAAAGAGACTCGGACACCCGGTGCTTATCAAAAAAAAAAAAAAAAAGACCAATAATTTCTAGGAATCCATATGGACTAAGGCACTGAGCAAAAAAAAAAAAAAAAAGAGCAAAGTCCCTTTATATGTGACACCAAATAGTTGAATGAAGGTTAATCATTATAAGAACACTTATTTGACAAGAGTCTAATAAGTTTGGTTACAAATAGTATAAGAGTGAAGGATATATGTGAGATCTTGAGAATCCCTAAGTTGTCCTAAAAGAAATTAGTAGGTAGAGGAATGAAATGAACCCAAATGGATACTGATTAAGGATTCCTATACCTGATCCAAACTAGTCTGAAATTGAAGTGTAATTATTCTTGTAAAAATCAGGATTTGATCATGTTTGCCTACATAATGTCATTTCAACTTTGATGGATTTGAAAGGGGGAAAAAGACACGTGGTTTGCTTACCATCAAAATTGACGTTGTTTGGCTTTACATAATTGTTTTGGTAAGAGCTTTGACTTGGTATTTTGGGGAAGAATTGACTTACAGATCAACTTGGCAAGTAGAACTCATCATTCATTTATCCAAAACTGAAGTGAGTAACTGGTTGATCTAATACTACAGATATGATTACCACCAGCGATAAAGAGAACTGTAAGAAATTGAGCCTCACCCTGAGGACATGTGAACAGAGAGCTTCCACTGCAGCTGGGCACCAGGATTTTCCCACAGAGTTTTTCACCAGAATCCTGGAGATCCAGACTGGTAACAATCCCAGAATTGCTACAATTGAACTAAGGCCTGTAGATAAGGTGCGAGATCTACAGAAGTTATAACCAAAGAACATCAGTTTTGTCATAGTATTTCCATGAGGAAAACAATGCCCACGCAAATATCACACACAAACAGGAAAAGAAATGATAATATACTCAAAATCAAAAGTGTCTCTCAATTTGTTTATTGGATATTTCGGATAGATGCCACGAATTAAATCCGAAATGAATAAATTAGAAACTTCTCAAACTCTAAATTTACAACTTTAAGTTCGGAGAGCTTCTTAAAACAAGAAAAACAGAGGCAAGAACCAGTTGCAAACGGTCAGCAAAATGGACATACAAACTAGAACAATAGAAGTTACATGTCGAGAAATAAAAACTACAGCCACTTAGTTGGAAATGCTAATCAAGTCATACGATCTGCAAAGAGAATTTGAAATTTCGAACTAAAAGCAATCTGATTGCACATGCTCGTTACGCCAAGTACATAATATAATATAAAATGGAATCTACAACTGTTCCATTGAGAATTGAAAACAAAGGTACAGACCTGATGTAAGAGAAAAAGCAAAATACTCACTGGTCCCAAAATGGACAGGTAGGATAGTACAAAGATCTCACTTCACATAGAGAACAGAAAATGGAAAAAAGAAGAAGAGATTTACGCTGCAATCTTCTTAATAACAGATTGTGTTGAAGACTTGGTGTTTACAGCTAGAAATGGATACAAGCAAATGCAGTATGCCACCTAGAAACCAAAATAGAAGTATCAGAATGAGAATTAGGATTTTGATAAAAAGAGGCATAATAATGAAAAAGATTATACATAATATAAAGAAGGCATTCTCATCACCTTTCCTTGAAATCTTTTAAAAATGTCTAGAGATATGTATGATCCAATAGAATGACCAACCTAAGAACGGAAATCAAAATCAGCCAATAGCATAGGTTAATATTACAACACATGAAACTTCTAACACAACCAGAAACTGAGAATCTGAATATCTACCAGTACTATAGGAACTTCGACATCCTGAAGCTCATGCTCTATGAAGTTTATCTGGAAAAGAAGATTTAAAACAAATTAAATCAAGAATGCAGATAGTGGGTAAGTTCTGTTGGGAGCACCCCTGCAAAGTGAGGCGCATGACGTACCACAAGAAGAAGGCTCACGCCTATTGAAACTTAAAAAATTAGAGGTGATTTTGACAATCCCATTGTTTTTTCTAAATCCCTCTTCGTTAATACTCAAATTCTTCCAACACCAAAGAAAAAGATACCTAACTCGTAACATCAGGGCTGATCAGCGACCCTGAACCTGAAGAAATCATCCTCAGACTAGTCCTAGCGACTTTGGCATGATCATCTTGCTTTACCCTTTCCTTTTTCTGTCACATTAGTTTTTGGATTTTCATTTTTTTGTGCCTTGGACATGTTATTTTCTTTGATGTTGATTCACCTTCTATTTTCTGCTTTTTTCTGGTTGAAGAATGCAAGAAAGCATCAACTACATGTTCAAAATTTAAATTCATGTGGAATGTGACTTTGGAAGAAGTACAAGTTGTTGCATCCGGAAGTGGTAATATGGGTAGTTAATCTGGTTCTATAACTATGGCAACTCCAAAGACTAGACATCTGATAGATGACTTTGTTAGTGCTAAAGCAAGAGCAAGCTACTTCGAATTCCAAAGTAGGATACTTTATACAAATCCTATTCCTATTCCTTGTTTGAAATTGCACAAATCCTATTCCTACTACAATATTAATTATTGAAATGTAAAATTGAATACTGATGGGACTTATTCCCAGTGGATTACGCATTGCCCCAAGCCCTCAAACACCGATATAGACGTTGAACTTCCATATTCAAAGGAAAAAAAAGAATATTTCTGAGAAAGATAGATGAAGCTAATCCAATAATGAGTATGAGTAAAAACCGCTCTTGACTACATCCTTCAGCCACAAAATGAATGGTAATTTCAACTTTCCATTAACATAGATATAGCACTAATGAGGAAATATTAGTGCTATTGGTACCCTACCCATAAAAGAATTGCTAATGATATGCTTTTGACCATCCCATCAGCCACACCCCGTCCCCGAAAAAGAAAGGATTTCTTTTTAAAAAAAATAATCTAAAATGAGGTAAGAAAATTACCTTGTGATCTGTTTGTTCTTGCAGTGAGAACAACCTTCCGCGCTCCCAATTCTAGCAATTGGAACAAATCATGCAACTATGTTAGCCATGCAGTTGTTGGGGTATTAGTGCCAGCTGAAAGTGTAAAACAAGATATTAACATACACCAATGAATATTCATCTTTAAAGACTATCGAGTCAGTCTATGACAATTTTAGTTCAATCAAATTGTGAACTAAATTCAAGGGTTACAAGGAGTAAAGATAACAGAAAGGAAGAACAAATGCCAGAGGCCCTTACGGCAACTCAAAACTGAGACTCCATTTTATCAAATGGATATCACATGTTCCAATAGAATGATGTGTGCAACCTAACTTGCACAGCAATACCAAAGCTTCATTATGACTTAGCTCACTGCATCCTTTTTGATAGACAGTCTTTTAGTTTCACATAGATTCATATTGAAAGCTAATGGAGTTCAGAAGTTGTAAGCTGGTGCAACTATTTCCATACCATGTTAGTCTCCTCGATGCTTGTACTTAAGAAGAGGTTCTAGTTCATACGATGATCCCTTGTCATGGATAGAAGAACAGTTGATGCACACATATCTGAAAGACACGAGAGTGTATATATACATGATAGACATGTCTCACTGGTCTCCAGTCTTTTAGTTCAAATATTCTTGAATTGACTACTTATACATATTAATTAGGGTACTTTTTAGGTTTTGTAACTATTCCTACTTTTTTCTCCTGCAAAAGAAACTGTCTATTATGAAATATAAATACTTGGCAAAGACTAGGAATCTCAACCAGTTGTCCTATGAATTTTTATCCCAAGAAGCAGGAATAAAGCTTAGGAATAAAGAGTTAAGAGAAATAGTTATAGTAGGAATTGAACAATGTAAATTTTGAGACAAAAGTTACACGATGCAAAAATATATTTAACCAAGTTTCTTTTCATACTTTTTACAACTTCAAAGCATCAAACTCAATTTTAAAATCCTTATGGGTGGACTATCTGCATATGATCCTCCTAACTCCCCTTTACTAAAGGAGCTTCATAAACTCCAGAGAATTTTCAGTAACCAGTAGGTTGTGAATGCGTGTACAATTGTTCCTGGTATGTATCTGATTAAAGGGTTATGGAACTATGTGGTAAGGGTAGGTGCAACTTTTTGCTAATTTGTGAAGAATTTTGATGAATCCAAGTGAAGCTCTCATTCCCATATTGCACCCATTTGACTCAGAAAAGTAGCCATTGTAACATGGTACTCAAAAGAATAAGGAGGTGGTGAAGACAGGTACTAGGCAATGAAGGGGATGACAAATCATGGAGGTAAGCAACAAATACATGGTGTTTGCAGTTTAAAGGTTATTGCGATAGTCAAAATGTTTTTATGTCTTGAAATAATGCTTACTTCATTAAGAACATGGGAACTGAAGAAAATGAGGGTGATCTTAGACAAATAGAAGCAAACTTAAGCTGAGTAGGGAGGTTAATGAACCAGCCACCAGTATTCAAACTAATGTTGGCCTAAATGCATTACCTTTTCTGTTTGGGCAATGTGCGAGATTGCTGAAAGCAACAAAAAGAAAATGGAAGCAATTAGTACAAAAGTTCAGATTTTAAAACCACAAATGAGTATTTCTAGCTGATCAGGAATCTCGCTATTCAAGATGTTAATAGTCTAGTAGAGGTGAAACTGTATCTTGCCTGTCACAGATGCAGTTCCATCCAGCAGATCATAGAGTGATTCCAGAAAATCAAGATAAAATGAGATAACACCTGCAGCAGTATCAACATAGTTTAGTTACCGTAATCACTTTACTAACACGTAAAGAAACATAGATTCAGTGGCTTACAAAATACAAACTATAACAACCTGGATTTCCAGGAATAAACAAGACATGAAACTTCGGGTCCTTGGCATGAATTTCCAGCAGATCCATCTTATAACTGACCCAGCATTACATGCACAAGATGAGAAACCAATAGTTTCACATGCAAATAAATGTACAAAACCCACACTAATAAACACTAAAAACATGATTTGATCTTCAATCAGCTGCTCATTTCTCATAAGTAAAAGGCAGTTGGATAGTAAGTAAAATACCAATCAGTTTGGTATCATAGTAATCCATGAGAGTACCAAAATGCTATCTCAGCTATCCTACCTTACTACTTCCTCCGTTCCACTTTGTTTGGCACTATTTCCTTATTAGTCCATTCCAAAAAGAATAACATATTCTTATATTCCTTAAAGGATAACACTATTATAAACCAGAGCTTTTTAAATCGAAAATATTTTGAAAATGCTTCAAGAAATCCTAACAAAAAGAAAAAACATAACTTTTTACTCTCAACTACAACATATCAAAGCATCCCGTGTGGCCTAGTGGTCCATGAAAGTGGGGTAAGCACCATGAAGACACAAGTTCAAATCCCAATAAAGACAAAACACTAGTCGAGGTGCGCGCAAACCAGCCTAGATACCACGATTACCAAAAAAAAAAGACTACTACATATAAAAAGAGATGCACAAAACATAAAGGATGATAATTTCTACACCAAAAGACTAGATTTTTAAAATATAAATTCACTATACACAATGATAAATGTACTTCAAATTGAAACTCCAACAATCGAGTCTATATTAGCAGTGTCTATTACCCCTATCTATCTCATCACATTCACGAACGGATCTAGGGAGACTCGAACCCCGAAAAATAACATTTTGCAAATATATACATATACATAAGCTCAAAACTACTTCTTCGTGTGCTTACTTCTTTATATTATGAAAACCCTGATTCCGCCACTAATCGTATTTACCCATCTCACTAACAATATAAATGAAACAAATTAAGAATCAAAAAACACAGCTGAGAATGCAATAATACCCTGAAACGTTACAAAGCCGAAAATTTGCACGCTTTCTTGTATCAATTAGACTCAAATTTTCTGAACCCATTTGTGAATTTCTGCACTTTGATGAAATTCTTCTCCTGAAATACAAAAACCCAGAAAAAAAAATGTCATTAATTATCGAATATATATCAGGAAAAGCGAAGAAAATACGAATTCGATGTTTATTTACATAGTTTTTAAAAAAAATGGCTATCAAATCCAACAAAATTGTGAAATTATTTGAGATTTTTAGAGAATTTGTTGAACCGGCGAAGTAGGAGAGAGTTCGAGTAATGGGAGAAAGATGATGAGCAATAACCATGGAGACTCATTAAAGTGTTTCTAATTTTTTATCATTTGTTTTATATCAATAAAATCACTCAATTTAAGACATTTATCTACAAAAATCATCCAACTACATTTATTATTAAAATCAATTTAATATAACAAAATAAATAATTTTTTAGGCCATATAAACATGAACCCCATAAATAAATAATTTTTTAAAAAGCCATTTTATCCTATTTACCAATGATTCAGTTCTCTGTTCCCAGTTACAAATGAAAAAAATTAAATTTTGGGTCATATTCACAAGAGATCCACTATCACATTACAACCAGCTAGCAACATAAATGTAATGAAATTCTATAAATCACATCAAGGAATTGAAAATAAAAACTACACGTTATTACTCATTAATTGTTTTGGGTTACTACACGTTATTACTCATTAATTGTTTTGGGTTATACACTATATTACTCATTTGTTTATATTATAATTAAATTAATATGTTTGTATATGGAGACTGGAGTATCTAATCAAAGTAATCAATAGATGGCTTATGTGTTGCTAGTTGAAAATATAAAATTTCAATTTGTGAAATTCATATTTACATGGCATATAAAATAATTTTATTTGTTATGTCGAATTTATTTTGATAATAAATTAGATAAAAAAAATATAATGTGTTTTTGATCATTTATTATGTCTTGTTAAATTTATTTAATGAAAAATGTTGTTGAGTGATTTTATTGATATAAAATGAAGTTCAATGACTTTATTTGATAAATTCTCATAGTTCAATGGTCTTTTAAGATATTAACTCTTTTATTTACTTATAAGTCTCTTAATGGGTCTGAATAGATCTGAATGAATCAGATCTGTAACATAGTTTTAACATCATTCACACTCAAAAATAAGACTCCCGTCTTAATTAAATACATCAGAACAAGTCACTTTGTTTTCTTATTTAATTAATGTTAATTACATGCTTACCATTATAATTTATTTTATTCTTATTAACTTAATATACGCCTTTTACTTTCATAAGTCTATATATATATAAAGCTGAATATATATTCGCTGATGTGACACCCTCCAATGATCAGCATTTACAATTATCTATTTTTATCTTTTTCTGAATTATTTCTGATTTTTTACCTCAAAATAAATACATAAATGAGTAAAAATATCACACTAAATAGGACTAATTACTAACTGCTACAGTCCAAAACGTGCAGCCCAAACAGTTTACAACTCAGCCCACTAACATCACATTAATTACCCAATTGAATAGGTTAGGTTATGAGCCTCAAAAGAATCTATATATATCTAAAGCTAAAAAAAATATGTTATGTGACACCTCTCTTTGGCCAAGAATCCTATTTTTTTATATTTTTTTTTTATATTTTATTTATTTATTATTATTTTACAAATATGAATGTGCTAATTACTATTCCTTTCATTTATTCATATTCTTTATTATAAATTTTAATTGTCTTTATTTTTATTATTCTCATGACTTTTCATGATCATAACTCCTAAATTTTATTAATAGTCATGTTCATGTTTGTATTTGGTATTCCCTATTGTAATCTTATAAATAGGGGCATTGTAATTTTTTCTTACAAGAAATGATCAAATCTATATAGTATATATATGTGTGTAAAGCTCTCAAATTTATGGTGAAGATGATTTGAGATGATTCAGCTAAAAGAAAGGTACAAGTATTCTATATTTCTTTTTCTTTTCGATCATCATAATATTATTTTGAATTTGGTATTTATTTGATTTGATTATAGGTATCTACAAAAAATACAAAGAAAACAGATGGGTCGATGATAAGAAATTGTAAGCAATTCTTCTCAAACTCTCTTTTATATTTATTTCCTTTTTCTTTGTATGTTTGACTAATTAAACAAGTTATACTCCTTGATCATAAGTTTTGCTAAGTGATAAATATATGAGGTATTCAATTATACTCTTACTTTATTGTTAATTTTTTTTTAAAGAATTTCTTTATCTTGCAGTATTTGGAGAATGGAGGAGGAGGGGGAGATAGAAAAATGAAAATTTATCGAATGGGTTAAAGATAAGAAATTGTAAGCATTTTTTCTCAAACTCTCTTTTATATTTATTTTTCCTTTTCTTAGTAGGTTTGACTATAGAAGTGATACTCAATTCATCATAAAATTTGCTAAGTGATAAACATAAGAGGTATTCAATTATACTCTTATTTTATTGTTCTAAGTTTTTTTTTAAAAAAGAATTTATGTATTTTGTAGTATTTGGAGAAGGGAAGAGGGAGGATAAAAGAAAAGTGAAATTTTATGATAAAATTAAATTCTGAACTTAATTACCTCACTAACTATACTATTTACTTTTTCAAAACGGCTCCCTTCCACGATCTTTCAATTATTGTGACAATTCAAGTTGTCAGTCATTTCACACAAGTACTATATATATGGAAGCATTTTTTTCTTTTCAATTATTTAGTATTTCACACATGTACTATATATGGAAGCATTTTTTCCTTTTCAATTATTTTTCATCTAATCTAAGTGAATTATGTATATTTATTTATATAGTTCTTATCATTGTTTATTACATGTGTTTTTTATTGTATGAATTTCATTTTGATTTGTAATTTCATGATTTTTCTACATTGCTTCGTCTAAATATGTTTATAAATGGTCATTTAAAATGATCACCACATATCATCCCAACTATTACAAACATATTACTGGAGGATTGAATTCAAGTGGTGTTAAATTGTGGGGAAAAAATTACTTTTGATGTTCGATGAAATATCATAGAAAAATCATGTGAATTGCTTCAAAAAGAATTTGTCGATTATGTTGCAAAAGAATATCTTTGTAAGGTATGACTTCTTTGGATTTGATGAAGGAGAAAATTTGAACTTTCCATTTCAAGAATCAAACGTGGTCGTTGAACTTTTGTTACCTTTAAATTTTACAATAAGTTTTTTTTTCGGTTTTATGGTGCGTAACTGATGGATTATAATTTTATTGGTTACTTATTTATTCATAATATTACTCCTTATTTGAAGAGACATATGTGTTCTTACCTAATAGTTTTCAAATTTCTTAATTATTTATGTCGTGACATTTGATTTTCATGATCGTATTGGAGGTTTGATTAGGAACATGAACGGATGATGGAGCATATTGTCTATTTAAGTGTAAAGGCATAAATTTTTAGGTGTTCTTAGTACATGTTTTAGTAGGTCATTTTATTGGTGGTGCAGCTACTATTTATTTGTGAATATTTGGTGCAGGAAGTTCTAGCATTTTTTCGAGCGGATGCAAATCATCTGCTTACGCAATAAAACAAGAATGACAATATTCAATAGATTTTTGCATATTTCACTTATTTGTTATTGCTTTGTTTTATCGTACCATAATTTTTTACCTGTGAGGGTATGTAATAACTTATACTCCTTCCTTTTAATTTGTTTTGTCTTATATTTTTTTTAATCTATTTCAAAAAATAAATGTCTCTTTCCCTTTTTGGTACATTATATATATCTTTAATTTAAGATTATAAAATTCAAAAATAACTTTCTTAAATTTCTTATCGAGTCAAAAAGAGACAATCAATTTGAAATGGAGGGCGTAGAAGAAAGGAAAATATGGAAAGGAGATGCCTTTATATATTAACCTGAAGACATTTCCAAGTCTAATTTTGTGATTAGTTGATGACAGATACATTTGTGTAAAGTTTTTTTTAGGTTATGAATTTTTCATAAAAAGAATAAAGATTTTTATAGTGCAAAAAGAAACAGGAAAAAAAGAGGAAGCAAAGGACGGTGGAGTTGAAAAAAAGTAGGAAAACATATTAGAATAAGGAAAACATGTTCTTACTTAACTGGGGAGAAGGTGACAAATCTGAAATTGAATTTATATCTATTTACTTGATGATTCTAACATCATTATTTTGCTAAGAAGGTAAAAAGCAAAATTGATCTATTAATTTTTATCCTTATATTTTATTTATTTTTATTTTGAAAATGTTTTCCTTTCTGATTTTAATTTTCATTCTACTAACATGTGTATTCTCATTTTTCAATAAAAAGATTTTGTGTTCTTACCTAATCGGATTCGGGGAGAAGGTAAAAGGCCTGGAATTTTTTTTAAACTATTTATTGGATGATTCCGACGTCGATTATTACTAAGAAGGTAAAATCAAATGAATTGTTTTATAAAATATATAATTTATTGTGATAAAGAATATACTATCCTTATTTTAAAAATATTAAATTTATTAAGTGTTCTTTTCTCTCATCATTTTAAAATACTCTCTATAATATAATTTAAATATGTGATAATTTAATTAAAATTGATTGGAGAGGAAATATTGATTCCTTAATGATCGCTCGTAGTGTGGTCAAGTTTCCTAGTTAATCAATATATTTGAATTGATAAGCACTCCCATGGTATAATATTTAGCACGATTCTAGAAAATAAGAAAGTATTAATTATTTGTTGGATAACAATAACAAATGTCTATTATAAAATAAAATGTTTTCATAAACAATATGTTACTACTCTATATAAACTATTTTACATTGCATTATATTAGATTCTCAATATTTTTGAGTGCAAAGAATAGCCATATTAATGATGTAACTTAATGTTAAATTCTTAAGAGATAAATCATATTACCTTGTTACAATAAAAATATTCAAAATATTATTTTCTATAAAAAAAAATTATTTTACTAAAATGAGATTTTTATAATATTTTATTGATATAGCGTTTAATTTCACATGTATATTCAGATATTGAAAACAAACAGTCCT